CCCAGGGCTGCCTGCCCTGCACCAGTGAGATAGACCTTCTCTTAAAAAGAAAAGAGAAAGAAAGAAACTGCTTCCTGCAGCGTGTTACAAAAAGCTTTTAAAAAAACCTTCTAATTGAAATCTAGTGTTCACGAGTCGGTAAGATCATCACTTATCAGAAGGATTCCTTTAAACAAAAACTTCAGCGGTGGCCGGAGTTGATTGTCTTAACAAAATGGACTCCGGGGCTGTGGCGTGGCGTTCACACGAAGGAGGAGAAGCCAGTGAGTGGAGTCCGGGCGCCTGGCGCGGGTGCGTAGCTCTGTGTGGTGACCACCGGGTGCAGGTGCGGGAGCGCTTCATCTGGACGGCACAGCTTGGGACCTGTCAGCTGCAGGGCTCCGTCGGGTCGTCCTCCGCTTACTGGAGCCGTCACACCGGGTTTTAGTCACGGTCGGGGTGCCGAAGTATGTCCCGGTGGGCGCCTTTTCATACCAGCTGTCGGAAGTGTCCCACGAGAGCAGTGGAGGATGCAGCAGGTCAGCAGGCGGAGCCCTCCATGGGAGCCCAGGAGAACCACAAGGGTCCTCAGCTTCGGATCAGCGCGGTGCACCGGCCGCGGCGGCCATTGGAGGGTGAACCAGCGGCAAAGGAAGACCTTTCTCTCTGTCTCTCTCTCTCACTGTCCACTCTGCCTGTCAAAAAAAGAAAAAAAAAGGTAGGGCTTGAGGCCCAGACCACGCATCACAGCACCACGGAAGGAATCCCCATGATGCCAGGTGACAGGAGAAGGAACATGACCGGGTGGGGAGGGGTGGCGGGCAGGGCCTGGGGCCCAGGTTTCCTGAGGCACTAACTCCGGCCCGCTCATCACTCTCCAAGGACCCAGAAGTGAGCACCCAGGACTGGGAAGTGGGAGCTCAAGGAACTGGGAGTCAGAGCCGGGGGTGGGGCCGGGGCTGCGGCAGAGGCCCCGTGGGGACGCTGGCACCCATGGCGCGTCCTCACCCTGCTGGGCTCTGACATCCTTTACTTGGTGAAAGCAAACAGATTACACGGGCTTCCGCCCGAACAGCCCCGTGAGACGGGGACCCAGGCAGTGACTGACACTCAACCCACCCGAGAACCTGGTGCTATTCAAGGTCGAGCCGGAGGAAGATGGACTTGTGTGCACAGAGGAGGGGCCATCTCCAAGTTACACCCTAAGTACAGAAGCGTGCCCCGTGTGCACATACCCTTGTGTGTGCGTGAGTGTGCACGTGTGTGTACGCATGTGCATATGCATGAGGGCACACATGTAGCTGCACACCCGGGCTGGGACGCACTGGACAGTCTCGGCAGCTGCCAGCAAAGGGAGCAGGGGGTGGAGGCACGAGCCCGCCCACGGCTGGGGCTCCCCCCGGCCCCTGTGCCTGTCTGCTTTAGCACATGACTCAGTACATGGGCAGCGCTGCACTCTGACCCCCAGTTCCTGTCTCCTTGACGTCCTGGGCCGCAGTGAAACTGGAGAGGACGGGCCACTCCCAGGCTGTGCGCCTAGCGGTAGGGATAAAAAAACCTCACCCCTCTCAGTGTCCGGCTGTGACGTGACGGCGCTCCTTTTTGGAGAGTGAGGAAGGGGGTGGGAAAGCCGACTGAAGACCCCACCCACAACGCTCCCCCAACCACCTCACAGCACCCGGGGCAGGGCGCGTGGCCCACCAGCGCAAGTGAGCCCCGCCCAGGGGAGGGCCAGGACACCTGCTGTGACAGACTGCCCACCCGAGCAGCCGCACAGCATCCCTGCCCCCCGCCCCCCCCCCCCGGCCCTACTCGCGGGGTTTGAAATGAAGCTTCCATTAGGGAAAGAGCCCACCTTCCACACAGGTCACGGCCCCTCCCCAGAGACGGGCCTCGGTCTGTCCCTCACCATTCAGGACTCTGCGCGGGGGAGCGCCACACCTTCTGTGACTGACGGCCCAGAAGCCTTGATTCCCGACCTCAAAGCCGGCCAGCATCGGCTGACTCTTCCTCTCGCCCCCACGCCCTGGCCTCCTGCCCTGGCTTCCTAAGCAGCCCCTGACACACTAAAATGTGGTGGAGTGAGAAGGCCATGCCAAGATGGCCGCTGGCAACGGAAACTGCCTGGCAACAGGCTGTGATTGGTTAGGGCATAGACCTCCCCTTGACTGGATTGGCTGCCTCGGCTATATAAGCTGCTGTACCAGCTGAAATAAATGAGTCTGCGGGCTGCTCGCCTCTGGCCTGCTTTCACCGGACTCCCGGGGTCTGTGTGCTGACTCAGCGCCTCTTGCCCCCACCACGCTGCTCCTCTCAGACAAATCCACAGCAACAACACTAATCTCGGTGTCTGCACTTCTCTGGCCTTCCCAGCGAGTCTGAGTCCAGCTCGAAGACAGGAAACACAGCAGCCCCTCAGGGAGCCCTGGATGTCCTGGTGGCTCCAAGGAAACACGTTAGCTGAGTCCACAGTGACCACCACTCCTGATGCCTGGTCTGCTCTCAGAAAGGGTGTGGGGCCAGCATGTGCCCACCTCCGCCAGCCAACACCCACTGGCTGCGGGAAGA